GCCAGCCACGCGCATTGTGCCATGGAGGCATGCTGTGGTGGGCGTCAGTGAGAAATCATCTGCTGATGTGAGCAACGTGGCAGCCTTGGTGGGGGCGGGAGGGCAAAACCTCCTGCTCGTCCTTCCCCGCTTTCCTGGGGGAGGTGGTGGCATGGGAAGTGCTGCTACTGATGGGAGATGCTGTAGCCAGTTGAGAGCTCAGACCAAAGAGATGGGAGGCTCAGCAGATGAGGCAGGCAGCCTCTGGTTGATGAGAACCTGTAGCCACAAGTCCTCAGTCAGGGCCAAAATCTGCCCAGGTAGCTGAATAGAGACGCAAGTTTGTCTTGATGGGGCCCAGGAGCCACTTCTGTGGGGAGGCTCAGCTCAGGGGTTCCTGCAGCACGTCCCCGGTCCTGGCTCACTGCCACAGGGGGTGGCTGTAACAAGGATCAGGAAGTCTGCGTGGCTTACAGGAGCAGTGCTGGCAGGCACATCCCACACGATGGTGCAGCTGATTTCAGCACTGCCCAGGCCAGGCTCTACCTTGTGTGACAGAAGCTGCAGCAAAACCCCAGTAGGAAAACATGGCTCGGGAGCTGGGAGTTGAATCCCTTAATGTGGGACCAGTTTCCTCTCCCCTCGGGTTCCTGCTGTCAGCGAGGGCAGACGGGAATGGGATCCACACTGCACTTGATAACAAAGGCTGGGGCAGAGGCTGGTTGGGGCAGGAGAGGTGAGGTGAGGGGCCATACTAGGCGCCGGGGGCAGGGATATGGGGAGGCAGGGCCAGATGGGGAGGAGAAGTAGGGCTGGTGTGGGGGGTGGGGATGGAGCAGCAGAGGCAGGACGCGTGGGGTGGGGGAGGAGGTAGTGCCAGATGGGGCAGGAGAAGCAGGGCTGGTGTGGGGGGTGGGGATGGAGCGGCAGAGGCAGGGCCAGAGGGCTGTACTAAGCGAGCAGTGAGTGCTGCAGCAAGGGCAGGGTTTACAACCTGCTGATCTCAGCTCTTGTTCTGCTGAGTGGCCAGCCGGCTCTAGCTCTTTGACCCAGTACGATGGGGAAGGAGGGGGAGGAGCTCATTGAGTCCAGGAGCCAGCCCCTGCAGGGGAGCTAATGATGCCAGCCTGTGTCACATGCTGTGGCCGGCTGTGGGGGTGGGGGACAACCACAGCCTTCCTCTTCTGGAGCAGCTCCCAACCCAGCCCAAGGCTCCCATTCTGCCACCGTGAAAAGAACAGCGCTAGCAGCAACCCTGAGCCCAGCCCAGACTGGGGTGAATGCCCTCTGCCCACTCCACTGCACCCAACTAGCAGGGCTGCTCAGACCCGGCTTTGCAGAGGGACAGCCCAGATGGAGGGGAGCAGGACCCTGCTTGCCCAGCCACCCTCTCTTAAACTGCCGAGGGTGACACGGGGGACTGATCTGGGATGGAAGCTAATCCCTCCCTCTCTGCCACAGCCTCACGGGGCAGCCCCCAGGAAGAGCCAGCGATCTCTGCACAGACAGCACCAGGCCCCAAGGCGTGCCCATGCTCCACACCTGGAGACTGGCGGGGGAGGCACTGGTGTCCACCCGTGCTGCCATTAGTCTGTTGCTTGGCAGCAGTGAGGGGCATTTGTCTTCCCACCAAACTGGAGGCCTGAGCCCAGGAGACATGACACAGGCCTGGCTGAGCCTCCTGTCCCTTCCCAGAGCTCTGTGATAATCCACAGCAACCCAGGAAGCCTTTGGCCAAATGCCTTGTTCTGCAGGGCTGCGCAGAGCATGCACTGAAGTGCACCCAGGGCATTCAGGGGCCAGCCCAGCCTGACCCTGCTGGCTTCATGGCCAGGCATCTCCCCCAACTCAATGCATGCTGTGTTGTCTGGCCCGTCCACCAGGTTCCAGCCCCCTATTCGCGTTCCAGCCCTTTGCCACATATGAGCCGCTGGGTGCAGTGTCAGACATACCCCGTCACACGCTGTTTCAATTGCTGCGATTACAACTCCTGGCCAGCCCCATCACTCACATGACGTCCCCCTTGCCGTGTGCCACACCTCGTTCAGCTATTGTTCCCTCTTGGGAGCTGTTCCATTCTCCCCGGGCAAGACATCAGCCCAGGATCACTTTGCCTGGCCATTTTGAAGACTTAGCTTCACTCCCGTCTCCTGGTGCTGACTAGTTCTCAGTGACTTTTTCAACAGCCTTGTCAGGGGACAGCAAGGCCTGTCTTGGGAAAGGTGTCCCCTCATGTGGGGTGCCTACGTGCAACCCCCTGGGGTTCTGCAGCACTCAGCACTCGCGGCGTTAGGCGAAATCAACAGGCGTTACAGAGGTTCAGAGAAGCAGGCCGCAGCTGTCTCGAGTTGGACACCCAAACATAGGTCCAAGTTCACTAGCCAATGCCCCCAGCCCCGAGGCTGACCGTGACTGAGACACAATGAGCGATACGGGGCTAGTCACATTTTCCAGCTCACTCCTTATTTTATCTCCTCCTGACACATGCTCACTTGGCACCTCCTGCTGTTCTGCAGCCAGCTGAGATAGGTGCTGAGTGCAGTGCCCCGACTGACCAGGAAGGAGTGCTGCTGAGCACGGCTCTTCCCCCACCCCAGAGCTGTGCATGCTGACTCCCTCCCTGCCACAGCGGGACAAGTGCAGTTGCAGAGGAGGAGCAGCCTTTTGTTGCTCCACATTCTGTGCCTCTGTTCAAAGTTTGCATGGAAAACACCTGTCCTTATAGCCTGCCCCGCCCTATGCAGTCGGCAGACAAATGCACCACTGCTTGCAGCATGTGCTGCAGGGCACCTGGCCGACAGGGAAGAGACGGTGTATTTGCTTTAGGAGCTGCGTACTCTGAAAGCAGCTAGGTAACAAAGAGGCAGAACAAAGGGTGGCTGAGTGCCAGGGGTGAGAGTCCAAGCACAGACCTTGGGTCAAATTCAGACACGTGTAAGAGGGCACAGCTCCCACTGACTTCGCTGGGACTGGGTCTGTTCCTTACAGGGCTGGATGTGGCCCCAATGGCGCTGAAGTGAAGGATAGGCCAGCAGACTGCACGCCGAGGATCTCAGTCTCTGTGACTTCCTGTCTCGTTCTCCCTGAGCCTGTCTGTCCTGCCCCAGCTGAGGGGCCAGGAACCACAGCCAAACTCACTTTCTTGAGCGTGCCGTCTGGCTGCTGAAGTGTTGCTGGGCTGCTGCCTTGGCAGTGGCTCACATGCTGATGTCCCCAGCGCTAAAGGGAGACACAGCAGATCCCTTGTTCTTTGGCTTAGCACCGTACTGGCTGCCTGCTCTTGGGATGATGGAATGGGACTTGGCTGCAGCTCTTGCTTGCGCTGGCTCCTGTTTGCCTTGCAGGCTACGCTGATTCCCATCCCACCCCGTGTTTTCCCTTTCCCAGGCAAGGCAAGGCCAGAACCCCCCCAGGGGGATTTTAGCCCCAGCTCAGAGCTGGGCTCGTCACTGCCAAACGAACCCACATTTATAGCAGGATGGATGAAAAGGAAGAGCCTGTGTCACTGATCCCAGGGAGGAGCACAGCACCAGCTAACCTTAACAGCACTCCCACACACACACACATTAACCTCAGGCCCTGTAAGTGACCTCCAAGCGGACCCCACAAATCTACCCACAACCGTGAATATGAGTGATGCCAACCCAGCCTGAAAGCAGGCCCAGGAAAAGTCCCCCTCCCTCCCCAACGTTGCATGATAGAGCCTTGTCTCAGGCTGCTAGCCTCAGCATGGTATCTCAACCTTCTGGCTCCACCAAGTCCTTGTTGCCAAACGAACCTTCATCACCCCAACCCATCCTGGGATTACAGCCTGAAGTGCATCATATGGGATCTCTCACTGACCCTGCTCTCCTGGGTCTGGACTAGTGTGCTGTGAGAGTGTGCCTCCCAGCCCCCCAACCCCTTCACTAATGCCCGAGACAGGTGTCAGCAATGGAGGTAAACCCTGGAGCAATCAGGAATTAGCTAAATAGAGTCACCATGGAGAGCCAGCGCAGGCACACCGGCTCCTTCGGCCTGGGGGGATTTAAGGGGAACCCAGCACTAGAATAGCAGGGGTTGCAGGCTGGGTTTGAGAGGCACTGGCAGAGCTGTGTGGGGGAGGTGCCCTGGGCTGGAGTAGCCAAGGGCTGCGGGAACTGAAGGGCATCAGCAAGTCTAGAGGCAGGGGGAGCTTGGCCAACTCGTGCCTGTGCTGTGTTTGTCTAGCCAGCACTATTAGCTCCCCAAGGTATCTCAAGTGCCCCTAGCTCCCTCCTAGCCCCAGCGCCTCTCCCTGGGGCTGCGTGTGCAGGGATCCTTCCTCTTGCCTCTGGGGACTCTGATGTTCTGCTCATTTCACTGCAGTGGGGGCCTTTAGCAGAAATATGAAGTGAAAGCGGAATGAGGGGATTCTGCTTCGCCTTTTCCCTGCAGGTCTGAGTGAAAACAGCAGCCGGCCGAGGTGTCACTTCCCTTTCCTCCGGGGAAGAGACCTGAGCTGTGGGGCCAGGCTCGGACACTCACACAGAATGGAATGGGAACCCCTTACATGGACGCAGAACAGCTGGGAAATCCATTCTGTTTGTAGGCCCTGCAGTTATTCCTGGGGGGAGGAGCAGTAACATGCTCCTTTGGCCTGAGCTCTTGATATAGGATTCCAAGTGTTCCACCACCAGCACTGACAGTGGGTGTGGGTGGGTATTTACATGCGTACCTGGGAGTGGGGGCTGTCCCTGGGCTCTCTGTGCACTGCACCTGTAAAGGGAGAGGATTCTCCCTGCCCCAGGTTGTGGTTCCATGCAGATGATTGCAGTGAATAGCCACTATCCCCTGCTTTCCTTGGGGGGGGGGGGTGTTTATGTCAGGGGGAAGGCACCCAAGGGCCGCCCTGCCCGGCGGTTAGCAGGCTCTCTCGGGGGCTGGGCGCTGGGGGGCGGCCGGGAGCGGGGGGGCCGCCACTCCGGGGGCCAGTCCCGAGCGGGGATAGACGCGTGCTCCGGGCGGGCGCCGGGGGCGGGGCCGGGGGCGGGGCGGCGATGAATGGAGCGGCCTCCCCAGCCCGGCCGGCGGCGCGATGATCGCGGTGTCCATCCCCGCGGTGGGGCCGGGGGCCGGGGCCGAGCCCGAGCCGAGCCCGGAGAAGACGCACACGGTGAGGTGTCCGGTCCGGTCCTGGGGGGTCCCCGGGCTGCCGCTGGCTCCTTCCCCCGCTTCAAAGCCGCTGCTCCCGGTCCCCTTGGCCCGGGGCGCGTTGTCCTGGAGCACCCGGGCTGAGCCCGGCGCCCACGTGCGGCCCCGGCTCAGCCCGCCCGGGCGGGGACCGCACCTGGCTGCGGGGAGCGGGCCCGGGGTGGCGGAGCTGGCGCTGCGCGTCCAGGGGCGAGGCGCTGCGGTCCGTGGGCTCCCCCAGCAGGTGCGGAGTCCCGGGGCCCGGCGCAGCCCCGGTCCGCAGCCAGGTCACGTCGGGCCGGGACCTCACTGCCCGGTGCCGGGGCGAGCCTCTGGCAGCGGAAGGGGGATCCGAGGGGTGCCCCGCCGGGGGGCTGGTGCACTGGGGCCAGCAGCCAAGGAGCCCGAGGTGGGGCACGGAGACCCCAGAGCTTCTCCCTTTTAGTGCCCCGGCCCCATTAATGAATAACAGAAATCCGAGGCCGGGGCTTGCTCCGCCCTGTGGCGCGACCAGCCCGCCCGCCGTGGCTGCCCCGGGGCTCACCTGGCTCCTGCCGCCGGGGGGGCTTGTGGCAACTTCTCCTGGCGCAGGAAATTCTTTATAACCCGCTTCAGGTTGTGCCCTGGTGGCGGGGGGGGGGCAATGCGGGTGCAATAGTGGCACCCCCCGGGAGACAAGCCCCACACTGGAGAGAACAGGGGGCTGGAGCAGGACGAGCCAGGTCAGTAGTTAGCGGTTCCCACCGGACAGCTGCCCGGACGCCGGACCCATCCACAGGGAGAGTCTCAGCCAGTTAATAGTAGGCGAGTGACCAATGGCTTTTTCTCCCTCTCGGAGGCCCTAGAGATCACCCTCCCCCTGGGGGACTCCGTGAGCCAGGGTCTGTCCCGCCCCCCTTGCTGGCTTTCTCGGCAGTCCTCAGGACCGTGCTGTCCCAGCTCCTTCCGGGCTGAGAGTTGTGTGTGTTTGCTGCTCTCCCAGGGTCTGAGTCTGGGGTCTGCTGCTGGGACACTAACCCCCAGCACTGCAGCTGGCTGTGGGCTCAGGAGTTGTGGGTTGACCCCCCCCCCCCCCCCAGCTCAGCAGCATGTAAAAGCTACAGGACTTGGGGCTGGCGTGTGGCATAAGCACAAGTCCCTGTTTGGTTATAAACATGCCAGCCCTCTGTAAGGCAGAGAAAGGGTTAAACCTTTCCAATAACTCCTCCACAGCTCATCCCTCTGCATGGGAGGGCAATGGAGCAGGGTGAAGCCAAGGCCCAGAGAAGGGCCCCCCCGGCCCTTTTATGGCATCAGTCAGCAGCCCGCCATCATCCCCTCCCTGCTCCAACCACACGGATAAGGTGGGAGCCAGTAAAACTCCCTGGCTGATTGGCAGCAGCCTGGCCTGGGCTGGGGACTTGAGTTCACGTTCTCTCTGTTCCTTCCTACCTCCTGCAGCCCTAAGCCCGAGGGGTTTGTGCTGGCCTATGGGCTCCCTGCCTTCCCCAGGAGAGCAGGCTGCTGAAGAAGCCCCATGTGGTGCCAGCCAACATACTCAACATTTTCCCAACCTGCTGATTCAACAGCCCCTCCCCAGCTCTGACCCCACCCAGTGGCTGTCTGTCTGCACAGCTGTTAAAACATTCCCCCCTTCACTTCCTGCAGCTGGGGAAGGCAAGTGGATCAAACTTCACTACTGTCTGGGCCTGCTCTGCTTTGCAGTCCCGTGTCCCATCAACATCAGGCTGAGAGCAGATGGATGCGGGATCCAGGAATGGTCTCACTAGTGCTGTGTGCAGAGGCAACACCACTCCCCACTCCTCCTGTTCCCCTGCTTATAAATCCATGGAGCACGCTGGCTGTCTTAGCTACAGTGTCCTTCCCTGCCTGCCCAAGCCCTGTTACGCTGGGTCAGGCTCCCTTCATGTCCCGCTTCTGCTGGAGAGACTCAGCCCTGACATGACTGGCAACAGGGTCTGCCTCGTTGCAGGTGTGCTTGGCCAGCAGCCCAGCCCTGGGTGTTGACCTGAGGGACTTCCCCTGTCTTGCTCCCAGCATGGGCACGAGCAGGTCACCATGCCGCTGGCATGCACTAAGCATGTCTTCTCATCTGGGCACCACCAGGAGGCTTGGGCGGGGGGTCTGTGAGCTGGTCCCAGCTAGTTGGTTGTGAGATTGTTTTGGTTCCCTGATTGGATGAGGAAGGACTGAGGAGCCCCTGGGGCTTGGCCTGTGTGTGGGGAGGGGGAGGAGGGGGAGAGAGCTGAGGGCCCCTTGTGAGAATTCTAGGAGATGTTGAACGCCCTCCTTTCTGGCTGCCCAGGCCTGGTTTGAAAGTCACTCGCAGGAGATGAGGCTGCTGTGAGCCATCTAGCCTGGGTGCTGGCTGGAATTTGACTTGTGTCGCTATGGGGGCACTGAGTAATTCTGTACTGTCATGGCTGGGGAGGCCATGGCCAGATTCTGCCTGGCTCATTTAATTGTCCTCTGTGCCAGGCTCTGGTGAGGGGTTTCGGGGTCCTGTCCTGCTGTGTTGGGCAACTGTCCAGCCAGAGAGCCAATTCCAACCCCTTGAGCGAGGAGAGCGTGTGCGACCTGCTGCCTGCCGTGTTCGTGTGTCCAACACTAGGAGGAGCGAAACGAACGCACGAGGGGTGTGAGCATGGTGCAGGCAAACACTACTGGGCTCACGAGAACAGCCTTGCTGCATTAGCTCGGCTCTACCCACCACAGTGTGTCAGACGGACGCGTGCACGCACAATGCGCAATTGTGCAGCCGGTGTCAGATTTCATGTGCTAAGCGGGGTTAAACATGGTCAGCCCTTGGATGGGAGACCTCCACGCTGCCATGGTATCAGTGCTCACTTTGGTGCCCTGCGTGAGGCTATGGGGTGCTGCGCTGCTGGAGGGGCCATATTCCAATGTGAGGCAGCGCTGACAACTGATCATTAATGATCGCTGGCACTCTTTGACAGGCGGGTACCAAGCCTGGTGGTCCGGCCCAATTCCTAGCTATGTCCTGCCCACGCCCAGTCTCCTTGCAGTGCCAGCTGGCTGCAATTCTTCATGTGCTACCCTAGCATGACTCTGATGTAGCTGTGCACTGCTCAGGCAGAGCATGCTCCGCCCTACATGTGATGGTGGCAGTGTCTCCTCTATCTCTGCTGCGCAGGGTGCGGTAGGATGGGAGATGCGATGGATTTCTGAGCTCAGGGAGCTGAGCTGTGTTGGCCTGTCGGTTGCATGAGGCCTTTCAGCCAGTTTGCAGATGCTAAGGATGGCAGTGCTGTGCCCTGCAAGAGAGGAATTTCTCTAGCCGCACTGCTCCCCTCCCGGCTGGAGCCAGAGCCTGCTCTGAAAGAGCCTTTTGTGACTCTGTTTGCTTCAGCCTGACACTGGATTGTGCTTACACAGCTGCAGTGCATTCTGGGAGAGGGAACACGACTGCTTTCACTGCTAAGCAAACACTGCAGTTTCACAGCCCTGTGAGCAGCTGCCCCACCCGAGGGCTACAGGGTGGGAAGCAATGTCCCTTCTCCAGTCTGGGCAGCTGGGGAGATGAGGCTGAGGGTACTGGGAATGGGATGCTCTTATTACATATTTCTGCACTAGGACTGGGGCCTGTCAAGCCTGTTTCACGACTCTCCTGTGCCGTTGCAGGTGTTTACAGTGGAGGTGCTGTGCAATGGCCGTAAACATACCATTGAGAAGCGCTACAGCGAGTTCCATGCCCTGCATAAAAGGGTGAGGGCCGGCCGGGCAAGCAGCTGGATTGGGGAGCGGGGGTAAACTGCATGTTACCGTTGCCACCTGCTGTGCTGCACAGCAAACCCCAGGGACTGATCTTTCCACTGCCACAGGGCCCAGCTGCTGCCTTTGCATCCCTGCAAACATGCTGTCTGGCAGCATTTCCTCCACACGTGTGTTGCCAGATGTTAGTCTGTCTCCCTGTCTATGTTCTGCTCGCGGATTGGGCACGTGCCAATTACAAGGGAAGTGGCGTCCCTGCGTGACTGGAACAGGGAGATCGGATAACATAGACCTCTATGTAGTTCTCTTCCCCGAGCTGCACTGTGCCTGGGGCCCACAGCCCTTCAGCCAGCACCAGATTAAGGCCTGGGCAGCATCAGCCTGAGCTGAGGCGTTGTTTACTCACCTTCAGTTTTTATTTATTTTTTTTAAAAAAGGGCTTGAAAATATGACAGAGTGTAATTGACATGGTGACACCTGCCTGGGCCTGTCGCTGTGAGAAGGGGACCTGTGTTATCTCACAGGGGTGTTCATGCAGAAACCCCTGGGGGCCTCACCAGCACCACCCTGATAGAGGATCCTGGCAGGAGGGGAGGAATACTGGGGCCCACCCAAGCAGATGAACCAGCAACTGGGGTGTAATATTGGAGAGGTGGGGGCATGCTGCCACCCCTGCTGGTGCTGCGAGGAGAAGAGACCTTTGCAGCTCCCGAGGGGGCTCAATGCTGCTGGGTCAGAGGGGAGGGGTCCTCCTGCCATGGTGTGGCAGGGGCCGGGTTCCTGCCTGCATGGTGTGGTACATGGATCCCCAGAGCACAACGTCTAGCCCAGGGCCCTGGTGTCCTGTAGCTACAAGCAGCAGGTGGGCTGTGACTCGGTCTGATGGTAACACCACGTTCTGCCCTAGATAAAGAAGATGTGCAAGGTCCCAGATTTCCCCCCCAAGCGAGTCCCCAACTGGATGTCGAAGGTGCAGGAGCAGCGGCGGCAGGGCCTGGAGGTTTACATTCAGGTAGGATGTTTCCCCACAGCCCGCGCCTGGGACTCCATCACTGGTGACTCCTGGGCTGGGTTTGAGCCCCCTGGAGTGGACTTGGGCTTGCTCCCTTAGAAAGGCCCAAGTGCTCTCTGCTGGGGTGTCCGCCCCACCATGGGGCGAGGGGCTCTGGCGAGCTCTAACCTGCCCACTCTGTTTGCTGCAGGGCATCCTGTACTACAACAAGGAGCTGCCTAAGGAACTGCTGGACTTCCTGAAGCTCAGGCACTTTCAGCAGGATGCCAAGGCCAGCAGCCTGGAGTGAGTATCCTGAGGCCTGGGGCGCCCACTGGTGGAAGCCAAAGTCTCCAAGCTCAAGTGATTCCTTGGTGCCCTCCCTGGGCATGGGAGGGGCTGGCAGGGTTAGTGTTCATGTTAGGCAGCATTGCCTAGTGGCTGGAGCCACTAGGTTCTAATCCCAGCTGTGCCAGTAACTTGCTAGATGACCCTGGAAAGGTCCCATCCCCTCTCTCGAATGACATTTTCCCATCTGTGAAATGGGGCTAATTGCTCATGCTCCCTGGCAGGCAGGCTGCCTGACTAGGAGTGAAAATGTGTTAGAATGGGGATTTCTTCGTTTGCTCAGCCCCTTAAGCTGTGGCCTCACCTGTGCAGCAGAGCAGTTCCATGCTTCTCCAGCGGGGGCTGTCCTAGCAGCCCTGCCCTTAGTGCACCAGCACAGGGCATCAGCTGCAGCTCTTAGCAGCTATTGAACTTGTGCTCCCCTACCCAGGACAGATTTAAATTGCCTGTGTGCAAACTCAGCCACAGATGAGATGCACCTGGTCCCTGATGTCTCCAAGGTTGTATGTCCCTCTGGCTAACAGAGGGGAGGGCAGCACCTGTCCCCCCTCCAGCCCCCAAGGGCCTGGGCCCTTCACTCCCTTGACTCTGTTTTCTTACAGTCTGAGGAGAGAAGTCGCCCTTCTGCCTCCTCCCAGGCCCTGTGCTCCTCCCAGTGCAACTGTTGGGACCTTGCTCCAGCTGCAGGGGGCTCATGGCGGGGCTCCCAGTTGCTGGCTGACCTCCTCAAGCTCTGGATGGGGGTCCTAGCTCGTGGGCTTGCTAGCTGGCCCACCTGCAGGGCAAGGGCACCCCCTGGTGGCTGGCTGCTTCTAGAACAATTCTCCCAGCAGTGGGGGCTCAGCTTCCTTGTCAAATAGCTTGCACAGTTATTGTCCCCCCACCCTCCACTGGTTCAGTTGAAAGAAACAGCCCCACCTTCTAACCGCTTTGTCTAGATCCCTGCGGGTAAAGAAATCCCCTGCTGGCTGGGAGAGCCGATCTGCTACCCCCCAATGGGGGAAGATGGGCTGCACTAAGGAGCTCCCTTATAGAGCAAAAGGGAACCTGCCCAGGAGCTACAGTGCAGACATGTGAGAACCCCACTGGGCACTAGTGAACCTGTGCCCCATGCCCACCCCCATCCAGATGGGCCAGGACCTGCCTTGCCAGGACCCAGGCACTGGAGAGACGGTGTGGGGGGAGCCTGTCAGGCTGCTCTCACTAGCCATTCATGTCACTGCCCCAGAACAGCCAGGTCCTCATTGGCCTCTCTCATTGCAGCCACAGCTTCCTGCTCTCCCACCGGCCGGTTATGATCTTCCACAAAGACCCATATGTGCTTCCCTCACCTACAGGTAAGGCAGGGGCACCGGGGTCCTGGGGCAGGTGATGCAATGGAAATGTTGTGTGCTGGGCTGAGGGCACGGATTCCCCTGCTCCTGGGCAGGCTGCTCCCAACAGCCTCTTCTGGGTGTTTGCTGCTCCCAAAGGGATGCTGGCATCCTGCAAGCTGGTTCCTTTTACTAAGGAGGGGTGTACTGTGAGGTGCTGCCCCCCTTCTCTTCTCATATTTGCAGCAAAACTGCCACTTGGCAAGTGCATGAGGTTTAAACCCTACAATTGCTCCCCGCACAGGGGCCATTTGAGTGTTACTGGGAGCAGAGCAGGACTCACCTGCTTCCCCAAAAGGCACATTTCACAAAACCAAGAGGAACAAAGGTCTCAATGGGGCCGGACCTCTTTTCCCTCTTGTGCAGTCCAGCTGCTGCAGCCTGGCATCTCGCCCATGCAAGCGGGCCGGGCAGGAATGGTCTTCAGGAGAAAAAAGATTTTTTTCTAACCACCCCCTGCTCCATCCTTCCCTAGAAAGCTTGGAAGAGGGCAAAGGCCCTGGTGAGAAGATGTAAAAACTGCCCACAGCTGCACTGTCCTGAACAATGGCCTGGGGTGGTTGGGGTTTTAAGGGGAAGTTTTTGCCAACTTTTGCAGTGGGGTCTATTCTGCTGTCCTAATTCCCCCTCCCATTGTTTCAGAAGCATACAGTCCTCTAGTTCCTGCCATGCAGTGCTGTAGGCTGCTGTTAGACATGCTCTACTTGTGTGTGAAGTGCTTTTTCATATAGGGATGGGGCCAATGTCTGTCATGGGGGTAACATGCAGCCTAGAACCTGGCTCAGCTTGTAAAGGGCTTCTTGAAACCCTTTAGACAAGCTGGGCCAGTGGGGAGCATGGGTGATGGCTGGAATAGGTTAGCTGCAGTTCCATTAGTCCATGTCCCCCTGCCGAGGGGATCTGATGCCCTGCAGCAGCCCTGTCTTGTCAGCAAGGCTGGAAACAGGAACTGTTGGCAGTTCCTGGGCTACCACCTGGTTCTAAATCTTAATGTAAGAGAGGGTGGGGAGCTGAATCTGGTATCTGGTCCCCCTTTAACTCCTGCAGGCTGGAGTGCTGCAGTGGGGCTGGAACCCCACAGGAATAGGATTAAAAAATCTCCTGCAGGGCTCTGCTCCCAGAGTTTGGTCTAGTTCCAGTCTTCCTGCTGCTGCCAAGAAACAGCTGTACTTTTAACCCCTTTCCTCTCCTGTTTTGCAGAGCTGCTGCCAGACATAGTTCTGAGTGGTGTGTTGCGAGGCTTCTACAGACCAGCAAGCTCCTGCTGGGGGAAGGCAGCCCCAAAGTGCTTGGCAGAGCCCCAAGTGCTTAGCCAGCAGGGCTCATGAGGGTATCCACCACACAGCCATTGCTCAGGCTTCACCAGTACCACTACTGGAGTGGGAGCACTGCTCGGTTGTCCTATCTAGGGATTGCTCCCGTATCTCAGTGGCTGTGCCTTCCTTTCCCCTGGGACTTGTTCCTGCCTTCCCACGCATGGGGTGGACAAAAGGGGGAGATGCTGCTGAGCCTGGGGGCTGGTGCCTAACACACACGGAGATTGGGCTGGAAGCTCCTGAGGGTCTGTTCTCAGTGAACACTTGTAACGAATGGGGCAGCTGTCAGGCCAGACCCTAACTGCTCCAGCAGTGCTGTCTCTGGCCATAGCAAGTGGAAGTGCTGCCGCCTGCACTATGGCTGGGGTGGCCAGGCTCCTTGCCAGTGCTTATGGCTACCCATAGCTGTAGCTGTGGCTGCAGCTCCTGCCCCTGCCAGGCTAGATAGAGCCTATGGGGGTGGGGGGAGAGAAGGAGATGGTGTCCCAGACCCATGCAGAGCCCCAGGATTGGCCTCCTGCAGGCTAAAGGGAGCTGTACAGATGTATATAGGCAATAAATCACTCAGGTCTGGTTTGAAGATGGCTGCTGCACTGTGTTTATCTGGGACTAGAACCTAGGGCCCATAAACTGTGTGTGACACATGCCCTGTTTGGCCTCTCAGCCAAGGGGTGAATGCAACTACAGGATGTTCTCATGGACAAGGTACTGGGCAGAGCCCCACCACTGGGTGCGTTGCCTGTATCACACTGTAACCAAGTAGGGGGGATGATGTACTCACTAGGGGAGAATGAGTGGGTCCCAGGGACTGTGCTAACAGTAGCAGGAAGTGCAGCCCCTGCCAGAGGCACCACCCTGCAATAGAGGGGGAGGTGCAGACACCACCCCGGCCTTCCCTGAGGTCCAAAGCAGGTCAGGTGCCTCCAAGCTCCCTGTTCAAATGCCTTAGCCACAGTAGTGGGGCATAAAAGAAGCAAAAGGCTGGTTGCTGCCCTGCTCAGGAAGAAGCTATTTATGCAGGGGCTGTGAGCTGTGCCTTCTCAGAAGCTGGGGGACATTCAGGCCCTAGAGGAAGCCCACTCCAGACAGTGCTATAAAAAACACACTGATCACATTTATTGGTGCATGTGCTTCTTACAAAAGTGATGGACCCACACCCCCTCTGCTGGCCAGACAGAATGTGTTGGGTCACAGAGAATGGGAGGAGAGGCCGGGCAGGAGGTTGGTGGCAGGGTACAGCTGCTGCTCACCCAGAGGGTAGCTAGATCCGAGGGGCCCTGTGGAGCATCACAGCCCCCAGCCCTTCACAGGCCAGCTCTGACTGCACGGCCCTGCCCTGGTGCTGGGGCAGGATGGTTTACTCTTTGGCAATGGCAAATGGTTTCTCCACCTCGATGGTGCCACAGTCAGCAATGGTGACATCCTTCAGGGGCTTGTCCCGACTGTCCGTCTTGGTGTTCTCCACCTTCCTCACCACATCCTAGGGGACACCCACAGTGAGGACAGGATGTGCCTATGCACAGGGTCCCCTGACAGCCAAAGCTGAGAGGGGTGTTTCCACCCTTTTCCCTTCTCCAGCTGGCAAGCTCCAAGTCTAACTCCCAGCTGTTCCCTTGTCTCACCCTCAGGCCTGCTCCAGAAAACATATATAAGGAGCCTCCTCTCCCAGGAGCCAAGACAATACTAGACTCGCCCCCTTCAGCCTTTGTTTCCAGGGACACAGCAGCTATGGGCTCTGTCTGGCCCTCTAGCAAAGTCTAACATGCAGCCCAGGCCCCATTCCCTCTGGGGCACACAAAGCCAGCTATGGGTCAGCCATGCCAGGGAGGGTGCTTCCCCCACCCCACATCCCCCCAAGTATCTCCCCTCCACAGGGATGGGGCTTCCTCCTTACCATCCCTTCCAGGATTTTGCCAAACACAACATGTTTGCCATCCAGCCAGGGAGTCTTGACTGTGGTGATGAAGAACTGGGAGCCGTTGGTGTCCTTGCCAGCATTGGCCATGCTAACCCAGCCAGGTCCATAGTGCTTCAGCTTGAAGTTCTCATCAGGGAAACGGTCACCATAGATACTCTTGCCTGGCAACAAAAGAAGAGGAGCAGCTTACAGTCATGGGTTCTATGCAGGTCAGTTCCCACTGCTGGCACCAAAGGAGCATATTAGCACGTCCAGAGAGGCAGGAACCTCCATCAGGGAGAAGAGATCCCACATCTACCCCCATCATGCAGGGCTCAGTTCCTCGGTGAGGCTGCTGGGAAATCCTCCATCTACAGAAACCAACACACCCTCTGGGAGGGAGGGGAAGTGCCACAGCTATGGTCAGGGAGCCCCATGCTGGCAGGCGAGGGGTGCACTGAGCTGTGGCTGAGAGCAGTGCTGTGGCAGACAGGAGGATGGGTCCCATTCCATAGACAGCTCCCAGGGCAGGAGCCAGGGGACACCCACCCTCTGCAAGGCACAACACAGATCCGCAGTAATGAGCTAGTCTCTGCTTGAACAGCAGTAGCTCAGCTTTAGGAATGAACAAGAGGGAAGGGTCCCAGGCACAAGCCCTCCTAGTTCCTGTGTAAGGATTGTTGGCCAAGGCTCCCGCAGGGAGACTGAACTGTTAAGGGCATATAGTGCCCATCCTTTTCCACATGCCCGCCTGGTTGCTAGTGCAAGGGTCAGGGTAGGGAGCTAAGATACGTTGCACCAAGGGGCAGCCGCTAGAGCTAGCGAGCGGGAGCAGGAGTGACTAAGCGACCCTTGGTGGAGCTTCTTGTCTGTTCGCTTGCTGTGTGCCTGACTGATTGATTGATGTTCATAGTGTGGTCAGTTTGTCTGGGGGGGCTGAGTGCTGAGCCTACCCACCTGCTAGGCCAGGCTGGGAGCTTCTTAACAAGGTTCTCACCTGCCAGCCTTTCATTCCTAATCCCATGAGTAGTCCTGCCCCTTTGTCAAGGGACCATAAGGGAGAACAGGGGGTTAAAAAGCCAGCTCCTAAGCAACCAGAGGAGCTAGCGAACAGCAGAGTTTTGCAAGGGACTTCAGAAGAGTGTGAGAACCAGATCCCCTCATGTTCTGCCAATCAAACCTCCCCCTCCTCCAAAAAAAGCTGCAAGAGTAAAAACAATGCAGGTAGAAGTCCATCAGCAGAGTGGGGGCTACCCAGTTTATTGCACTGAATGATTACCTACCTTGTGGGTAGGTGGCACATGTGCATTTAGTGCAAGCAGCTCCCGGTCCTTAGAGACAGAGTATGGGCACTTGAGCCCAGAGTGGCTGAACTGGAGGAGCTAAGGGAGACAGAGGTACACAGAGGACACTTTCTGGGACCCAGGAGAGCACCCCCATCGCCCAGTCTGTGCTGCTGAGGAGAATGAAAGTCCTGGGGAAGGAGAACATCAAAGTGGAGCAGAGGGAAACGATCCCATGGTTGGGACCCTCCTTCCAAATAATGTCATGGTGTTCTCTTGCACTGAGGATGCCCCTCCAGGGGAGGGGACCCAGTTATTAGGAAGAGACAGTAATAGTAATGGGGGATTCGATCATTAGAAACACAAACAGCTGGATTTGTGATAACCGGGAGAACCGCATGGTGAAGTGCCTGCTGGGTGCAAAGGTTGTAGATCTCTCAAGACATCTAGCTAGATTAATATGCAGCACTGGGGAGTAGCCAGTGGTCGTGGTACATGTAGATACCAGTGACACAGAGAAGGTAGGACACAGGTTCTGGAGGCCAAATTTAGGCTGGTAGGTACCTCCATGGTAGCACCCTCTGAAATGCTTCCAGTTCCATATGCAGGGCCAGTTAGCCAGGTATAATTGCAGTGTGTCAATGCATGAATGAGACAATGGTGGAGGGAGGAGGGTTTTAAGTTTTATTAGGAACTGGGGAACCTTTTGGGAAAGGAGGCGGCTACACAGGAAGGATAGGCTCCACCTAGTCCAAAATGGAACCAGACTGTTGGCCAGTAAAATTAAAAAGGGTTGTAGATGAGTTTTTTAAGTTAAGGACTGGGGGAAAGCCAACGGGCATAGAGGAGCACATGGTTCGGGCAAAGATTTCTCTTAGGGGAGGATCTATTAACAGGGATTCTCTATAGCCTAATAAAAAGGAGAGGATAGAAGTTGAGAAAATACAGGTAGGAGCTGAAGAGAAAGTCAAAGGAAAAGGCGTCCCATTCAGTTACATCACATGAAGGCAGACAACTAAATATTGACTGTTTTTATAAGCGCTTGTATACAAATGCTAGAAGTCTAAATACTAAGATGGGTGAACTTGAGTGCCTAGCATTAAATGAGACTATTGATAGTTACAGGCATCACAGAAAGTTGGTGGAATGAGGATAATCAATGGAACACAGTAATACCAGGGTACAAAATATATAGGAATGACCAAGTAGGTTGTGGTGGGGGAGTGGCACTCTATGTAAAAGAAAACAGTCAAATAAAGTAATCTTAAATGAATGAAATAGCACCATAGAATCTCTGTGGATAGAAATTCCATGCTTGAAGAACAACAACAATATAGCAGAGGGATATACTATTGACCACCTGACCAGGATGGTGATGGAGAATGCGAAAAGCTCAGGGAGATTAGAAAAGCTACAACAAAAGAAAACTCAATAACAACGGGAGATTTCAACTATCCCCATATTAACTAGGTACACGTCCCCTCAGGACAGGATGCAGAGATAAAATTTCTAGACACCATTAATGAATGTTTCTTGGAGCAGCTAGTCCTGAAAGCCACAAGGGGAGAGGCAATTCTTGATTTAGTCTTAAGTGGCACACAGGATCTGGTCCAAGAGGTGAATATAGCTGGACCGCTTGGTAATAGCAACCATAATGTAATTAAATTTAACATACTTGCAGGGGAAAATAGGAAAGAAGCCCACCATAGTAGCATTTAACTTCAAAAAGGGAAAATACATAAATACGAGGAAGCTAGTTAAACAGAAATTAAAAGGAACAGTCACAAGAGTGAAATGCCAACAAGCTGCATGGAACTTTTAAAATCATAATAAAGGCTCAGATTAAATGTATGCCCCAACTAAAAAACCCAAAAATAGTAAGAGGACCAAAAAACACCACTATGAGCAGAGTAAAAAAGGTGGTTGAGACAAAAAGGCATCCTTTAAAAATTGGAAGTCAAATCTGACTCAGGAAAACAGGAAGGAGCATAAACTCTGGCAAGACAAGTATAATTAGGCAGGCCAAAAAATAATTTGATGAGCAACTAGCAAAAGACAAAAACAGCAAAAAAAAATTAAGTACATCAGAAGCTGGTAGCCGGGCAAACAATCAGTGGGGCCACTGAATGATCGAAATGCTAAAGAAGCACTCGTGGAAGACAAGACCATTTTAGAGAAGCTAAATTAATTCTTTGCATTGGCCTTCCCTGCAGAGGATGAGAGGGAGATTCCCAAACCTGAGCCACTCTTTCCAGGTGACAAATCTGAGGGACTGTCCCAGAATGAGGTGTCAACAGAGGTGGCGGCTTTGGAACAAACTGATAAATTAAACAGTTCTGAAGGAACTCAAAATATAAAACTGCAGAACTACTAACTGAGGTATGTAATGTATTGCTTAAATCAGCTTCTGTACCAGATGACTGGAGGATAAATAATGTGACACCAATTTTTAAAAAAGGCTCCATAGG